TCTGCTGCCCACGAGCAGGGAAGCACGGCTGGAATCCCCACTAAGATCAAATTACAAAATAATCAAGCTTTGTGGCCAGGCGGTCACGAGAGGCTATTGTGAGGTCATGAGATAAATCAGGGACGAGCCTGGACAAAACTGGGCAGTCAAAAATAACATTTTTGTATCTCACTTGCAGCATGGTTCTCTGCAAAAATAAACTGTTAATGATGTTCAGTTTTTTAATTCAGGAAAGGGCAAATGGCTCTCCTTGCACAAGCTCCCACCAATTGAGCCTTATGTTTAGAGATAAGCAATTAAACCCTCCACATCAAAGAAAAACAGTGAGCTGTCCAAAATGGAATTTAGCCAAGGAGAGACCAAACTGGGCCTTGGTCCCTGTCCTGGGGTTCTCAGTGCTACCTCTACCTCTTACCCACTGTGTAACCGAATGTTTATGCATATCAGAATAACAATGGGACAACTGAGTGGATACTGACTGAGCATGATTGCAAAGCACATCGAAAATCCTTAAAGGACCCAAATGTGTTTTGAGAGGGTAGCACATCTTGGGCCAAGAGAGCCATTTCTAGAAATAATCCCACTATGCAAAAACAGCAGCATATTCTTTGGGAAATTCACTGAGAAAGGATGTCTCTAATATGGCATCAAACCCCAGACAATATTATTTATTATACAGAGAAGTGTTAACTTTTTTATATGGTCCCCAAAGCTGATCCTACTATAGAAATCGCATTTTAGTTCCTGAGAAGCTTCAACATGACTGTCTGTATTGTATCAAATGTAAAAGACAACAAAATTATAGAATTCAGTTATCCTTCCATCAGAAGAGAAATATAAAATTTCAGCTGAAGATTTCTTAGGAAAATAACAGGACACCTAAGGAACTACTGTTTGGTAAATGCTTGCTGGGGCAATCATAATCAAGGTGGGCAGAAGAAATACTTCAAAGACAACAAATAAACAAGCAAAAATCTAAATGTGGCCGAGTGTGTTTGGCTTATGCCTGTAATCCCAGCACTTTGGGAGCTCAAGGTGGGTGGATGACTTGAGGTTGGGAGTTTAAGACCAGCTTGGCCAACATGGTGAAACCTTGTCTCTACTAAAAATACAAAAATTAGCTGGGCGTAGTGGAAGGTGCCTGTAATCCCAGCTATTCGGGAGGCTAAGGCAGGGGAATGGCTTGAGCCCAGAAGGTGGAGGTTCCAGTGAGCAGACAGCTCCAGCCTGGGTAACAGAGCAAGACTTCGTCTAAAAAAAAAATGCAATATAACTGAGGCTTTTTCTAAACAAAGTAATGGGCATACTAACAAGTCAATGGCAAGCCATTTTGTAAATATTAGCAACAGGAACTTTGAAGAAACACTTTGAGATGGTCCCATGTGAACTGAGGACCATGCGTTGGTTTTCACTTGTTTCCTGATACACAGATGAATTACCATCGGCAATGTTTTTCTTAGACATAAAAACCACATATCTATTTGCACACTACAAATTCAAAGTGTTTTTAACATAAAAGGTGGAATATAAGTGACTATGAAGTTCACAATAATTTCTAAAAAATGAAAATAAAAGCATAAAGTAGTTGCTTTCTTTAGATAGGGAATCTTATAAGAGATATGAAATTCAACATCTACTGTACTTTAAGCCTATATCTTATTGATAATTTAAAATTATAATTAGTGTTCTTGGGACTGAATGCTACATAGAAAACTAAATATGCACATATGTATGAGATGTGAGATGCTGCTGCAGGAGAGAAATACCCTATTTTTAAAGCAAAAAAAAAAAAAAAAATCTTAGTGAAGTCTATCCTTTCATTTATATGTCTCATGTAAATTACACATAATTTTAAATTTCCAACACATTGAAAATGTCCAGGTCTCATGGCACTTCTCCTTTATTATCTTCCGTTTTTCACTTGGCCGTGCCAATGGAGGCTTTCTAGAAATATTTAGGAATTAAAAATTATAAACTTCCAATTGAACTAAGAAATGACCACTAGAGAAAAATTAATTTTTATTTATATAATCTGGTTAAAAAATATATGATTTTTCTACTCTAAAGGCATTTTCTTATGCAGTAACACCACAAAAATAGCTTAAGTTTAAAATAGTGGATTTCCCATATGGTTAGTCCACAGCAAGATAAAGTTGTAAATGAGGGGACTATGTGAAGAAAACATAAAAAAGCCTTAAGGGCACATGCAAAAAATGTGATATTGCATGATTTACATACACAATTTTATGCCCCAAAATTCAAAGAGAAAAACTTAATATGTCGTAACTTGAACTGTATTTCATATAAAGTATTCCTGATTACGTATTTAACTCAAAGATACATAACTCAATTTAGAGCATAATGTGGGAGAGGAGTTAGTAAGAATCTAACCTTTTGCATTTCTTGACTTTTTTGGGCTTGTGGTAATGTTGTATTTATAGAGATTCTACACTTTCAAATTTAAGTCTTGAAATGTCAAAAAAAAATCCCAAAGCTGAGATCTCACAGAAGGTGATTTTTAACAGTCCTTAAAAGTAAAGACTTATGATCTTCTGACAACTGGAGCTTTCACATTTTAAGATTTAAAAATTTCAGTCCTAATATTACATAAGCATACACATCGACACACTTTCAAAGATTCCATCATCTTTGATAGGCCTGGAACGAAGAGGAAACTAAGAAAACAGAAAAAGTTGTAAGGTTCAGGAATACTGTTTAACTATAAAGAAGTAAATACTTAAAAACTCTTGTGTATTTAAAGGTGGTCTCTTATAAGAATATATTTCCAGTGTAAATCACAACATCTAGTTAATTTCTGATTATTTGTCATAATAAAAAATGGAGAGTCCCCCAATATTTTAGAGTTACAACTAGAAGAAACAGAGTCTCAGAGAACTTAAGTGATTTGATCAAGATCATAACTGCTAGTTAGTTTTAGAGTTACGTCTGGAATATACCAAGTATCTTGTCTTCAAGTTTCTCCTCACTCTCATAGCTAAAATTTTAAACATAATTCTTGGAATGCATTTATTTTCAATGCATCCTGCTATCACCCATGTAATTACAGGTATGTCACAAACTGTTTAGTTTTCTCATCACTTTCAAGTCAACAAGTATTTTTCCACCACCTACTATAAGCCAGATTTAGAGATTACAATGATGGTAAGACAAAGGTTAATCTGATTATTGGGTATTTTATGGTCTCATGAGGGAAAGAGGATTGGCAAACAAATATCATTAAAGGCACTACTTAGTTTGACCAGAAAGGTGTCAAAGTCAAAGGTAACATTCAGTTTCTGATTACCAAGATTAAAGATAGGGTCTGGACTAAATGGTGTCTCAGCACCTTTCTAACGAAGTTTTGAGTATTATCTTTCCCTTTCTTCTATTGTTTCTTAGATAGATTTATAAATAAGTAGGTAATTGATAAGACCAAAATTTCCAGTGATTTCAGTGGAACGCAGTGATGTGTTTATGAATAGGTACACAATGAACAAAGCCTTTTATCTGCAAATAAGTTTGTGAAATTATGGATTTCTTTGGCACAGGCCTTTAACGTGTTAATGTGCAGTGTATCTCCAAGAAGAAGATTTTATATGCAATGTTTCCTTTTTTTTCCAATCAGGAAAAAAGAAATTACCCAAATAGGCACTTTTATTACTATTTTGAGCTCTCAGAATTACTATTCCCAGTTGTATAGTTTGGGAAATACTAGCTCCAGACCGTTGTAATATTCTAACTGGTCTTCTGAAACAACTTGTCCTACACATGTGCTGGCAAGATAATCCCCCTAAAGAGTTGCTTTCATCAAATTTCCCTGTTCCAAAACCTCCAGTGACTCTATGTGGCCTATAAATTAAAGTTAAAACTCTTTAGACCCTCTAGAGATACTGCTTGTAAATTTCTCTCTAACTTTTTCTCTCACAATGTCCTTAAACAAACTCCAGTCACAATGCTGCTGAGTTCACTAAGATCTGCCTTAGATCCCACCCACTACTTTTCTATGCCTAGAATGCCTTCCCCTCTCCACAAAATTACCGGTTACTTCTCTGATAAAACCCAGCTGGGGCTCTATCTTCTCAACAAACTAGCACAGTATGCAAACTCTAAGCTAGTTACCTGAACCACATTTCGTAAAATTGTTATCTTTTTTATTGCTATTTTTCTTTTAAGTATATATTTTCTGCCCCTTGTGGCTACATTGCATAAGTTCACTGAGGCCAGGCACAAGCCTCACATTCCAGAATTTAGCATATTCTTTTGTACTTAATAGTATCGTTTTAAACGATGATAATGACGAGACTACTGATGACAAAGTAAAAATAAGAAGAAAAGAAAGGAATCTAAACCAGGAGTCGCAATGATCATTTACAAACCAAATACAGAGTGGTTTACAAAAATATTCACTAAGTTTTCCAAATGTCAAATTGTAACTGCTCAGGCAAGAGTTTTCAATTTTGATTTCTGACATATCCCAAATGTAGAATATAAGTGAAATATTTGGTAAATATTGAAATTCCATTATTTATTGTTTTCTTCATTTAAATGCTCTTAAGTGGCTTCAGCTTATTTCACATAAAGGAATAGCTTTAATTCAAAATGAGATTTTTATGTCATGCAGAAGGTTTAAATTAGAAGGATGACTCAGTAACAAATATTCTAAAATATTACCTGTTATAATTAATAAATTAATTTGACAAAACATCAAAGTACTAAATAGTTTATCCCTTAATTTTAGGATACAGTCTAACTTACCAAAAAAACCATTTCTCACAAGTCATTTGATCTTGCCCATTGGAAAAAATGTGTGTGGCTTACTAATATTTGTCACTGCAATATTAATCCTGAAATTTGGATAAAATTTAACTTCAGATAACACAAGGCCTTGGTGACTTTCCACCTTGTAAAAAGTCCCATTTTTAGATATAATATTTCCCCTAATTTATCTTTTTCTAGTAACTGAAAGAAAGGAACAGCTCTTGAACAAATTTTGATTAGGCTAAAAGTTTTTTTTTTTTTTTTTAAAGGTATACATTTTGAACCAGAGATGAAAATGAATTCCTTTTAAGATGTAAAAATAACATTGCCCTTTCAGAATATACAGTATGTATTTTTAAAGAAACTGTATTATATTTCAATAGTGTAGTAATTCTTGTCAATGTTATTAATTACCTCAATTATGTCTAGTACTTGCATTAATACGTGCATACTTTCTCCCTTTTTACAAAACCTCTTTTAGAGGCTCTGGAAGGTATAAGCCATGATAGCAATGACCCTGTCAAACTCTTTATCTCTGTAACTCAGGGCCTAGGACTGTGCCTGGCACAAAGTAGACACTTGATAAATATTTGTTAAATAAACAGGTAGCTGGAACATATGCTCCATGAGGAAAATGAATGTGTTTGCGTGTTGTTAGTTAGGAATCTGGCCCTGGGAGTCAGAATTGCAGTGTTGAGTTTAGGTTGCACTATTTCCTAGCTGTGAGGTCTCCCTAAATCTATTCCCTCACCTGCAAAGTGGAATGATAATAGAACCTGCCTCATATTGTTACCATGAGGATTAATAATCCACATAAATACCTGACACATAGGTAGCACTCAATACAGGCTAGCTGTTATTATCATTATCAACATCATCACTATCTTCTTTATTTTTCTTGTTTACTACTTATCTCCTGTTTTAAGCACATAACATATGCTCAATAAAAATCTGTTACATGGAGAAATTAATCAATGAAGTGCAGCTGTACCTGTATACACAAATATGTTTTGCTACCCTCAGTACACATTTTGTCAGGATTCAGACAAATAGCAAAAAATTTTAAAGCACAACTCAAAGTTAGTGTGATTGAGTTTTTCTTATTTGAATCTGCTTTTAAGGGATCTAGTCACATAGTCCCTTGGAGAATAGAGCTCTTTTTATCTCCTTTTTGAATTTCTGGTAGTACGTAACACAGATATTTGCATCATTTGTACTAAAAAATATCCTAGTTAGCAACCAAGTCATGTAAGTAAAAATTAAAACAAATGACCACAGACTAAAGAGTGGGTAAACAGTGGCACTCTCATGATATTTAACTACCTCATCTTAACAAACCAATTTGTAGCATTTATATTTCTTACAATATTGCTGCACATTGAAGTGTTATAGTGAGGATCATTGCTTTTACACTTTCTAACTTAAAACTTCAGTTGAAATTGTGTAAGTAGCAACTAAAGAGTTATATTTCTGTAAAGTGCCTCACTGTGAGTAGACAACAGAAATAAGTCTCAGGTCATATGGCTCTGAGGTATTTAATTCATCACTGACTTAAGTGCCTCACTGTGAGTAGACAACAGAAATAAGTCTCAGGTCATATGGCTCTGAGGTATTTAATTCACCACTGACTTACATCCTTTTAGATCTCATGTTTGTAATATTTCTCATCGGAAATGTCCTATATTAAAGAGTACTGATAAGTTTTCTAATTTATTTTGAGCTTAACTCTGCAAAGATGCTATCAGATTATAGAATAGCCTGGTTATATTTAAGGCATATTAGTTTTTTTAAAATTTATAAAATCAATATAAACTTTAGCAGCAAAGAATTTAGGTTTTCTCTTTTTAAAGACAACATAAATAATGAATAATTATTTTGAGTGGGTGAAGAAAGGAAAGATAAAAGATTCAGATAATAATCTTAAATTCCTCCATTTACTCATTTACATTCTTTGTACAATTATTTTCCATCTCCACTGTATTTTCCAGATTTAAAAAAAGTTAAAAATCTTATAAAATATTCACAAGCCCTTCCTCTTCCCCATGACATTTAAAAAAAATGTACTGAAAAAAAAAGAACTGCAAGTTCTAAAAGCTGATTCTCTAAGTCAGTGGTTCTAAAAAATGTTAGCTGTTAGTTTATTCACTATAAAATAACCAGAGTGTGCTTAAGCCTCACCCAGGATTTACTGCTTCTTATGTCTTGGTGACTGAATGGGCATATGTGTCAAGGTGAGAAGAAAGAGGACTATCCAGTATTTGCTCATCTATCTAATCCAGCTTCTTCCTAGTTTCTTCTCTCCTTCCTTGCCTCGTTATACTTTCCCAGGCCTTGAGTATGGACTTCTTCTATGTATTTCCTACCCGCTGGGGATTCTAGAAACAAGTTCATGTTGAAGCTGCCTGGTCATTCTGGACCAAGGCTCCTGAAATTCCAAATCTTAACTTGAAAGAAATACTAAACAAATACCAATTTTAAAGCATATATAAATAATCTCCCTCTAATATAATAGCTACAAAAATGTACTGACTATGTGTTAGGCATGAGCTAAGTGCTTTACATATATTATTAGCTGCTATCACCTATTAAAAAATAACCCAAACACAAATATTTTTCCAGAAGCAAGTGGAGGTGGGGAGGGTGGTATTATTCTGATTCTGACTTCATTCACTTTTTTTGATAAACTGACTTTTTATTCTCTAGTAACTGGGAATGAGTCTCTCAAAAACATTTTTTTGTTGACAAAGGTGTTGGTGAAAGAAGACTCAGATATTCAAAAGATGCTTCTTTCTACTCAAGTCCAACTATAATCCTGGGAGTCTTCAATATTCCCATGAATAACCTTTCCAAGAGTCTGACTGCTAGATTCCTTGATCTACAATGCTCCTTTCTTCCACTCCATTTCACCTGCCCATTCTTGACATTTTACTCTAGACATTGCAGTATTCTTTTGAAACAATAAATTTAGACATTCCCCCAATTTGGCCACAACGTCCTATCTTTTTAACCATCTTACTAAAATAATTCCCTTTCTTACCTTAAAAAAAAAAAAAAAAACAACTTGTAGGGCTTCCAGTCCATTTATCCTTTCCTTTCTTCAAAAAAAAAAAAAAAAAGTTTTCACTTCTCAACCTAAGTGCTGGAAGACCATGGTCCAACATTTCATTGTGTTTTCCTAATCTGCTAGGCCCCACTGTCCACTTAAGGCACTTGCCTGAACACTCCAAGGTTGGATAAACCCAGGTGACTGGCTTGTCCCTGGCTAACAGATTGCTGCTCCTACAAACAAATCATTATCAACTACAACTCGGCGCTCAACATTGTTCAACCATTGTACTATGTAATTCTAGACAACTCTCCAAATGTTATCATTTAAAAGTTAAAAAAAATCATAAAGGCTCTAAAAGAAAATAAAAGAGAACATATGCATAATTGTGGGGAGGGACTTATGTATGGCATGACAATAAGAGTGGAAACTAAAAAAATTTGCATTTTTGACTACATAAAAACTAAAAACTATGGTTTGGAAAAAAACCTTAACAAACTCCATAAGCAAAGCAAAAAGATAAAAGGTAAGTAGGCAAAAAAAAAAAACATACGATAAGGACTGTTATCCATCATATATAAAGAACTCCTACTAATCAATAAAGAAGTGACAAAGACTTGGTTGACAAGAAAGACCTGGTAATGTATGAGATAAATATAAATGATCAATAATTAATAAAAATATGCTCAACCTCACTGCTTACCAAATAAATACAAATTTCACTGATTTTTTTTGCAGAATAACAAAGATTAAAATAACACTTAAGACATAAATGTGAACTTGTATAACTATTTTGCAGGACAATTTGGCTATAATTTTCCAAACTAAATACATGTTTACCTTTTGACCTAGAAATTTCACTTTTTGAAAATTATTTTACAGAAACACTAGCAAAATTGTACAAAGATACCTCAATACTGTTAATATTAGCCAAAAAAGGAAGAAAAATGAGTAACTTTCAATAGATACTGTCCAATGGCGGCATATTCAATCAATTAAATGCAATATGGTTGCTGAAAAGGAGAGAGTTGTATCTACACACAACTACATGAAAAATATCCAAACTACAATAGGTAATATGTACATTTTTTTTGGTAAACAGAACGTATTATTTTTATAATTGGAAAAAAGCAATAAAAGGAAAATCAAGTTATAGGACAATGTGCATAGGAGCCTGTTTATTTGGAAGTTTGTGCACACTGTTATGAATAGAAACAGGTTATTTCTCAGGGGTGGTATGATTAGAGAATTTAATTTCTTTTCATCACTTGAAGTTTTTTTTAGAATGGCCATTTTTAAATAAAAAAATGTAGATATTTGTATTTGTAAAATGAAGCCTACCTTACATTCTTCACTTTTCAAACCTCTGACTACAATCTTCCTTTTTCTTTCTTCACCTGGTCTCCTACTTCCAGGCAAAACCAAAATTTATCAGAATGGAATTCTTTAACCTTTCTTTTCTTTCTTTCTTTTTTTTTTTTTGAGATAGAGTCTTGCTCTGTCACCCAGGCTGGAGTACAGTGGTGTGATTTTGACTCACTGAAACCTTCATCTCCTGGGTTCAAGTGATTCTCCTGCCTCAGCCTCCCAAGCAGCTGGGAATACAGGTGTGCACCACCACACCCGGCTAATTTTTGGATTTTTAGTAGAGACGGAGTTTCACCATGTTGGCCAGACTGGTCTCAAACTGCTGACCTCAGGTGATCCACCTGCCTCGGCTTCCCAGAGTGCTGGGATTACGGGCATGAGCCACTGCGCCTGGCCACTCTTTAACTTTTCACTACCAAATCTGAAGACCTGTCAGCATGAGGCTCATGCTCCTTTCTAAAGGCAAATTTTCTCCTAAATTAAGCTCTCAAATCCTGCCTTATCTTCAAACGCATTTCCATTCTATAGCCTAATTATCTGCATCTTCACATTTGGCCTATTTATACAATTTATAATCATTCAAGTCTCTTTCATCTTAAACAAATAAACTAAAACCTCCATTGACTCCTCCTTTTCTTCGAGTTGTTTCAAAAGTTTTCCTTTTTCCTTCTTAGTCATTTCCTTTTCTTTTTAAAAAATTGTATGTATTTATACAATGATCTCTCTCTCGAGCCTCAGCCAATATATTTAATACTTTAGTGTCCATTTCTACTTGGAGGTCTTGCAGGCACCTCAAACTCAGTATGTCAAAACTGAACTCATCATTCTCCTAAAAATATTTTCTCTGTTAATGATAGTCATCCATACAGTTGCCCAAACCAAAAGCCTGGACAGCAAATTGATGCTTCTGCGCTGTTACCCAAGAGAGCCCATCAATATTCAGGACCCACTGAGTTTCCTAAACAGCTCTCAAATCAAATGATTTTCTCCATCTCCACTGCCTCATCCAGGTCATCATGATCTAACCAGCCTTGCTTTTAGTCCTGTAACTCTCTTAATCCATTACCCTTATCATAGCAAGAATGTTCACTGAAAAATTAAGATCTAATCATATTATATTCCCTTTGTTAGAATCCCTTTTCCAAGTTTTTACAAGGCTGAGAAAGCTCTCCATGACCTGGCTCCTGCTTATTTCTCTAGTGTCATTTCTTTTTATCATCCTACCCTCATACTCTATTCTCCAGCAATACTGGACTTTTTTTTAGTAGTCAAATGTACCACATATTCTCTTGCCTTTGCTTGGAACTCGAAACACTAATTTCTGTGCCACCACCCTCATCCCCTACACATAATTTTACTCTCACTGACCTAGAATGGCTAACTTACATTTTTTGGGCCTTTACTTTTCAATAGCAGGGGCCATACTTGTTGTTAGGGTTGTGTCCTTAGCACCTAGTACAGAACCTGGCACATGGCAAGTGCTGAGTGGCTGAATATAAGTGAAGGGTATTATATAAAAAACTGGCATTAAAAGGGCTGATGAACTGTTAAAAGTTTTACTGCCATCACCAGACTAGGCCAAGTTAGTTTCCCATAATGCTAAGACACAACATTCTCCTACACATCTGCCCACATAACTAAGAAAGATATTTATCAGGAGTCAAGCTAGTCCTTAGACTCACCTTCTGCTCTTTTCTTTTACCTTCAAACCCAGCAGAAATGGGCCAGAAATATGGATATGTGGCAGATATTCAAAATTATTTATGTCTAGAAACAAAATTTAAAATTTCACCCTAGAAAACTTGTTTTCTCTTTTTTTTAAATTATACTTTATGTTCTAGGGTACATGTGCACAACGTTCAGGTTTGTTACAAATGTATACATGTGTCATGTTGGTGTGCTGCACCCATTAAGTCGTCATTTACATTAGGTATATCTCCTAATGCTATCCCTCCCCCTCCACCGACCCCACAACCCCGGTATGTGATCTTCCACTTCCTGTGTCCAAGTGTTCTCATTGTTCAATTCCCATCTATGAGTAGGAACATGCGGTGTTTGGTTTTCTGTTCTTGCGATAGTTTGCTGAGACTGATGGTTTCCAGCTGCATCCATGTCCCTACAAAGGACATGAACTCATCCTTTTTTATGGCTGCATAGTATTCCATGGTGTATATGTGCCACATTTTCTTAATCCAGTCTGTCACTGATGGACATTTGGGTTGGTTCCAACTCTTTGTTATTGTGAATAGTGCTGCAATAAACATATGTGTGCATGTGTCTTTATAGCAGCATTATTATATGATTTATAATCCTTTGGGTATATACCCAGTAATGGGATGGCTGGGTCAAATGGTATTTCTAGTTCTAGATCCTTGAGGAATCGCCATACTGTTTTCCATAATGGTTGAACTAGTTTACAATCCCACCAACAGTGTAAAAGTGTTCCTATTTCTCCACATCCTCTCCAGCACCTGTTGTTTCCTGACTTTTTAATGATCGCCATTCTAACTGGTGTGAGATGGTATCTCATTGTGGTTTTGATTTGCATTTCTCTGATGGCCAGTGATGACGAGAATTTTTTCATGCGTCTGTTGGCTGCATAAATGTCTTCTTTTGAGAAGTGTCTGTTCATATCCTTTGCCCACTTTTTGATGGGGTTGTTTTTTTCTTGTAAATTTGTTTGAGTTCTTTGTAGGTTCTAGATATTAGCCCTTTGTCACATGAGTTTCACTCTTGTTGTCCAGGCTGGAATGTAACGGCGCAATCTCAGCTCACTGTAACCTCTCCCTCCCCAGTTCAAACAATTCTCCCAGTGAGATCAAAGCAGAAGGTGGGCAATTTCTGCATTTCCAACTGAGGTAACCCAGCTTATCTCATTGGAACTGGTTAGACAGTGGGTGCAGCCTACAGAGGGTGAGCTGAAGCAGGGTGGGGCATCTCATCTGGGAAGCCCAAGGGGTTGAGGAACTCCCTCCCCTAGTCAAGGGAAGCTGTGAGGGACTGTACTGTGAGGGATTGTGCCATGAAGAATGGTGCATTCCAGTCCAGATACTACACTTTCCCATGGTCTTTGCAACCCGCAGACCAGGAGATTCCCCAGAGTGCCTACACTACCAGGGCCTAAGTTCCAAGCACAAAACTGGGCAGCTGTTCGGGCAGACAACGAGCTAGCTGCAGGAGCTTCTTTTCATACCCCAGTGGCACCTGGAACACCAGCAAGACAAAATGGTTCAATCCCCTGGAAAGGGGGCTGAAGCCAGGGAGCCAAGTGGTCTAGCTCAGTGGATCCCATCCCCACGGAGCCCAGCAAGCTAAG